AAACTCTAACACTTGTGTGGAGCTGTTAATCCATCCTGTCTATCTAAAATCCCTCCTCACAGAGTGTATACTCTATCCCTCAGAATAAGGATATAGCGCTATAATACCAACTCGAAAGCGCAAAAGCAACCCAACTAACCTACTGACACTAATAACTAATCTTTCGGAGGTTCATCACATAACCTCACCTCAATGTCAAATACGACTCTGATTTGTGACCCGATGATGGGACATATGGCAATCAGTTCTTTCCTGATAAGCACATGTTCCACTGATTCTACAATATATCCTTTCAACAAATACTTGGTCATAACTTCTTAACATGTATTCAGTAGGCCACAGTCTCTAGAGGGACATCTCCAAAGACTAGTAAGTCTATGACTCACCACTCCACAACTGTTTGTCACTATGGGACAACCATTCTTCCATGGTAATCCTGCCTCAAAGTGGCCGTTGGCAAGTCTGGAGAGACAAGCAGACACCTTCGAGGCCATTCTACCCTCTTCAGAATGCTCTTCACTCAGACAGTCCATGTCTTTATGTTCAGGACTACAAAACTCTTCGATATTTCTCACTATATCTTGACTATCCAAGGTGTGACAACACAAAACCTCAGGCTCAAATCCAAGATGCTGTTTTGGGACTGATATGACTCAACTCAAATTCGTTATGATAATAAATGTTCACTTCCTCCCTCCAAAGAGCTGTTCCAAAGCCCAGGGTACATCTAGAATATCGGAACTAGTGAGAAGACCAGATGTATCATCTTAATACATGATATCTTAATTTCTCTCAGATGTCTTCGGGCCTCTGGCTATTCTTCTGTGGAATATTGACCGGCAGACATCGTTGAGTGTGGAACTGTACAGGCCGTTCTTATCTTCATTGAACCCCTTTCATTAAAAACGGCTCTGAAACGAATCCAACACAGCTACGGAGCGAGACTCCATTAACCGTAACTAAATTAAGTCAAGACGCAGTTCATTAGTGTCAAATTGTTCGCAAACCTTTACAGCAAGAGAGGTGTCTAACCGACTATCCATAAGTTTAAAAACACCTCTTTGGGCTAATAGCTCCTGTCAGCCACGTCTCATAAACCGTTAATGCCCAGCTCTTGCTACGCCCGGGCCCACGCTGTTCCTTGCAGTTTTTCAGAAACGCTTAGTAATAACGGACGAAAAAACCAAAAGACCGATTGGTGAATCGAGGATTCTTTATTGTAACACCAACATATAAAAATAATGTTTTTACTAGGGTCTGTGAACAAATATTACAATAATAAATCACAATATTACTTCTGATGGTTTACTGCTGACTTCTTTCTGAACAGCGACCAATGAGACGATGACTGTCGTATTGATGCCTCCGCGAAAATTGGGGAAGTTGGTTTTGAGCAAACAACCAAGAATTGATCGTTCAATCTTCAACTCCATTGACAGCTCCTGTAGAACAAAGCCGAAATAGACCGTCTCAAAAATGCTGCTATTTCCATGAAGTGTTGCCGGCCTCGAAGCATTATTGCTACCTGAGTGTAATACTATGTGCTGAAGCACCCTGCATATATCCGCATCACACCCACTTTACGAGGGACGACACTTTGCGGTATGGCCCAGTTTGAGGCAAACAAAATACATGCCTTGCTTCTTAAAGGTTGTCTCCTCTAGGAAACGTTTATATCCATCAATTTCCTTTACACAAAAGGCAATTTTTGGCTCCATTTAAGACGCTTTAAGTCTGTCTTCTAACAGACTGTTCAACCGAATTGTAGTGAGACACAGAATACTGTCTTCCCGCAGTCCTCTTCTCTCTCGTGTCTGTGTTACTTTTAAGTATTATTACATGTTCGAGCAACTCTTTCTTCAACAAAACCAACAGCATCAACGAACCCAGTCCGTCTACTGGAGACAAAATTTCTGTCAGGTACGTCAACCAGCCATCAAAGTACAATAATATCAACCCTAAATATTCACATACTATTAACAATACGGCTCAGTGATTAAGTTCGTGACGGAATCATCCCCTCTAATATCTCTTCGACTATCATTCTTCTTGAAGGCCTCAGTAGCAGTTCAGAATTCAATCGCCTCAACTGTTCCTCAAGTTTCAGCTTTCCTGCCAATCCATCATTGTAACTGATTTAAACGAAAGCTGCTAGTCAAAACTACAACCATTAGACGAATCATGCAAATTAAATCAAAATTATCAGCATTCGCATCAGTGGGAATAATGATACTTTGTTATGTACAGCGCTTATATGTTCTACAAAATTTTCAGCATAGCTCGTTGCATGACATTTTTCTTCATCCAGGATCTTTAAATAAAATATCACGAAACGGTAGACCAAGTGAAATACTTCCGACTGACATGAAGCGTATACCGAGAAATTATTATGTCTCGGCTGTATGTTCTTCGGTAAACTCTTTTAATTTGGTTGAATCGCAATTAGAAAAGTTTCAGGATTCCATTCTATGGCCAAAGTACACAACCCAAGAACAGCTATCTTTTTAATTGCAATACGCTCCAACCCACGATTAACAATGAAAACCCAAGTATGTGTTGGATGGATCACAGATACTTGGGAAAAAAGTAAAGCTTGAAGTCATTTCCCTCATATAACAATGAAATACATCTTATTATGATATATTCTCACTTTGTGTACGTGAGCACAGTCGAAATTCCATAATGGCATTATACTCTGCCACATTGTCCAAGTTTCACCCATATGTCAGTGAGCACAGTAAATTAACATAACATAACATAACATAAGCTTTATTCCAAATCAGTACTTGTGATACAGAATGGAATTCTCAGCATTTTACTACAATATTTTACTACAATACAATTTGGCCATACCTTCAAACGACCTTATCACAAATGTTCATCCCCTGGATTAAAAGCGGAAGATGGAGCTCCAACACCATATCTTCACTGCACTCAGTTATCTACCGTCACCTTTATCTGCCTCCAAGTTTTTCTAAAAGCTTCCGTTTGCCTTTCATATGATCTCATTCATGCCACGCCCAACCCGTCAGTTACCAACCATGTTTCACTTAAGGGTCTGACGTGCCATATCGCTCAGCGGTCTTCTAGGCGTACATTTTATCCACCTCGGCTTCATTTTACTTACTTGTTTAGTGACAGGTTCTCCTTTGGCTGAATATCGGAGTTCCTTGAGGCTTCAATAATCCCTGAACAGTCATGTAATCCCCAGCATCTAACGACGACTGTCACTCACGATGGGCTCCGGGGGCTTGTTGGAAACGCTTGCAAAGGTAACAGTTTCAAAGACTATCAGCCCACAAATTCTGAAGCTGGGCTTGTCGGAAAACTAATGACTTAAACTCGGAAGACTATGTGCGGTAACAGACTCAGGAATATCAGAGGACAGGTTGTCAATTCGAAGATCGCTTATTCCTATACTGACAGAGCATATAAATAAGCATCAGTTTAACTGACGATAATACCTTTGGTAGTTTTGATCCGATCTTCAGACAAACAGCGAGCTGCTAGACTAGGGTCACTATTATTGCCTTCAATGAAACTGGAAATCCACTTAAATTAATAAACCATAGATTCCTCATTCAGTGTTTACCAACAATGACAACGCTCTACGCGACGTTTTTCGGTGAAGATGCGTGATATTCAGTTTGACAAGCGTGTGCTTTGCTTTTCATGAATTTACCCTATTACGAGAAAAATCTCACAGCCGAGAAGGTTTCCAATCTTTCCAAGATGATGCACTTAAACATTTAGTCTTTGTTGTACGGGAGCATAGTCACACGAATATCTTCCTTTTAACGCACCTTGAAGAGTTGGCTTGTGCATTTTCGCTGAAGTTTATGGGTTCGTTCGTACTGATGCTTCCCCTGCTGGCTCTTAATAGCTTTACGGAGCTCGAGAATCTTAGCTTTGTCAGGGAGTTGAAGATCACTGGTAGTTCTGGAGGAGGTGCAGCAGACAGGCAATCCAATGAACGTTTAAAGTGATCGGGCCAGATAAACCTCTCCTCTTGGTTTTTAGTAATTACGTTTCCCCGTCTGAATTTCGTTGGTTTCATCTGTATTAATCTCTTTCCTCAAAAGCAATCTAATTATTTGGTGTAGAATTCTGAGGCCTGTTTTACCATCCATACATCTTGTTCCGCTTCAGTTCCCAACGTGTCCTGAAAGCATCTTTATTCCTCTATTCAGTATGTTGTAGCTCATATTTAAGAAAAACTTTTCTCATCCACTTTTATACTGACTAACAGCTTCACTATACCTCTATCTCCAACATTTGTCCGTGGAGAGACACTCAATGAATTACCTCTTCTCCACGACCAAAAGTTACATAACGGTTTCCATCCACGTAGCTTTCAGGGACAATTAGTGCTTTTAAACAGAGAACTTTTCTCCGACTTCCTAGCAGCTGCGGCACAGTTCCCCATGCTTCAGTTTCTTAGTGTTAAGCTTGAACTATGGCCTATCGTCACCTTCAATTGATTCTGAAGGTTCCATTCTCTAAACGGTGAGCCGAACCTACATAGTCCTTCCAGTGCATATCCAATTTTTGCGACAGAAACGAAGTCTATCTGATTTTCAATGTACTCACTTGGTGTGACCTACAGGGCCATGTAAATATCCTTGCGCTTAAGATAACTAAACAATTAAAGTCAAAGGTGTCCGTGAGGTATTCCCCGCTTCTTACATTTACTTGGCATTCAAACAACCCACTAGAATATTTGTCTCCATCAGACTGGAATCTTGTCACTGCTGCCCTCAGTAGTCAATACAGGTAGTCCTTCTCCATTGGCTTTGCAATATATCAGTGTAGCCTCCCCTTCCAGTAAAATCTTGCCTTTATTCAGAACTTGTCATTCGTTCTCCCCGATTGCGGAGGAATTTGACCTAATTTCTTCTGTCGTTTGAAGTTTATATAGGACGGAAATCGTCAACCCCACTTACATCCTGGATAGTAAACTAGGAAAAGCCTGTTTATATGCATTCATAAAATGAAACGTAAAAATTTGCCTAAGTAACCTCAAACAACAGTATACTCATTAAATCAAATGTCCAATAGAGAGAATATTGTGTATTGTTTGTAACAGTACTGTAAACGTCAAGTAGCGGGACTACGACAAGGCTGTAAGGATCCATTTTCGTAGTTGTAGACTATGAGCAGACGCATTCTTGAGATTACAGATGGGTCGACGTCGAGGTCACGTAGGCGCAGTAGGTCACCACAAGGCTCACCTGGTAAGTTTCGGTGCAATCCCTAATAAGTTGGTTTCTCTCAGATCCTACTCCACGTAAACGTAAAAGTAGATGGTCTGCTGCCGAGACAGACCGAATTTTCATACCCGGTATGCCAACTCAGCTTCCTCCAAATCTGACTCCTCAACAGGAGAAAGTTTATATAAGTATGTGTACATCACCCTATTAACCTTCTTCCGTGTAGTCCAGCTCCAAATTGAAGATATTTCCAGACGCTTGAAAAGTGGTGATTTGGGTATTCCAAAAAACCCTGAAGACAGGTTAGCAGTTTTTGATGTATTTTACTGTTGCATAGATATCATTTGTTTGTTGTACTGCTTAATGTTTATAGGATAATTTGAAAGGTTTCCCATAAGGTAGTACGGACTGGTTGGTATAGATAAGTCGTTCACTTTACTCTTTTGTTTAGAATTTTATGTCATGTAGCTGGTTTTATTTACTGTGGATCAGACAATTAGCTAATGGGTAAGGGTATATATAATGTTAGTCATTTGGTGGTTAACTGTCGGAAGTTTTCTCTCGCTAACCAGTTATCTCCCTTTCAGATCACCATCTCCGGAACCCATATATAGTAGTGATGGCAAACGTCTCAACACAAGGGAATATAGAACTCGTAAGAAGCTCGAAGACGATCGTCACGCACTTGTCCAGCAGCTGATAGATATTAATCCGGAATATAAACCACCGTCTGATTACAAGTAAAAGCTATTAAATGATTGTTTCCCTGTAGGCCTCCTCAAAATAGAATAACCGACAAGGTATTTATTCCACAAGAAAATCATCCTGATATCAACTTCGTTGGGCTATTGATTGGACCACGTGGAAATACCCTGAAAGCTCTGGAAAAAGAAGTAAGTATGACTCATAAGTCCTGATTTTATAATTCGTGTTTAGGAATAATAAGAATTAAAGGGATTTCTTCATTTCCATATGGTCGGATGGCGGGTATGCAACCATGTTTACTGACTCTATGCACTTAGTCTGATAAACCTTCGCTTCCAGGGTATTTGTGCATTAAGAGCTTGTTGTTTATAGGTCTCCGTGAGTAGTAGTTACATGCCGCCGATTCATCCGTGAACCCTACCATCCAAAAAAATTTGTCCCGAAATGCGGACTTCTCAATTGTGTCTCGTGTATTCCTAATGAAATGACTAAACCAGTAATGTACTATAATTTGACTCGGAATACCATACTTCAGGCAATTGTTGCATGTATTGTAATACAGACGTGAAACAGTAACTGTATTGGTAAATTCATCGTTACGTTTTCCTACTACTTAAAGTGGCATATCATCAAGTGTCGGAACAGTTTTTCGCCTTCAATTTGTTTTGTTATTTCTGATACAATGACGAGCTGATAGATGACCAACTAAAGGATCTCCCTATATTAGCTGTAGTGCAATCGGGTGGTTTGTTGAGTTCAGTACCATTAAGTGGGTGAAAAGTAAGAGAAAGTAACAATAACCACGAAGAAACTAAAATTCTGATGAGAGGTAATCACATTGTATTGATTTCTCAGAGCTGTTGATAATGTCCACACGTGTGGCTTCCTGTTATCACTGACAACGTTATGTGTGGGAATTTAGGCCATGAGAAAGTAGAATTATATTGTGTTGATGTCAATCTGCACCTTAATGACTATTGGTTCTAAGTGGCTTTGAATATTCGTTACGATTGGACTACTAGATAGTAGACCTTTGCGTCCGTGTGGAGGAATCTGACGACGAAGTACGTTGGATAATAATTGATTCGCGTGCTAGACGTGCTGGATTCAATGGACTAGGCTCATTTCAATCTATGAATTTCTCTCGGTCAACCAGGTTAGGAGAACTCACGAGCTGTGAACTCATCCAGCCAGTAAGTTAGACTAAAAGGATTTCTTCAAAAGCTGGAGAGTATTTTAATATTAACAAGACTAGGAAATATAGATCATGGATCCATATACGGTACGTCTGACATATGCTGCACTCAAATGTGGTTCGCCTCACAGCATAAAAGGCAAGTCCAAACATTTGGTGGCTAAGAACTACGTTTTCATTCATTCTAGGATCATGTTGGTGATTCTATTTATTGACTTTACTCCCAACTTTGGACCCAACTGATCGTATGGCTGGTATATAACAATAGTGTCTTCTCCAGACAGCGTAATTATGAAATCCTTTGTTTTCACATTCCAGTTGAGATGTGGAATATTTGTCTACTCATGAGGAGTATCAACCCTGGAAATATTATGCATAACCTCAAGCCAAACAACATTCAATTTGGGTGATTATTGAAGTGTTAGTTTTACCATGAGGTAAAATATGCGCTTGTTGTAAACCCTTCTGAACAACTTCACGAGTTGAGTTTTGGTGAAACCAGTCAATTGAGTCTCTGTAGCAGCCTATTAGCATACTCCATCATGGTCATGTAAACTAGTGGAGGCGTCGATTATCTCTATAAAGGTTGAAAATTGCACTACAAAACAGTGCCAATAGCCTCCAAAGTAGGCATATTATTACCACCCTTCACTCTTGTATATACACTTTAACTGCCGCACATATGTGCAAAGTTCTATGTCGAAAACAGACAGACTTGTACATTCAAGGTGTCACACTCCATGACACCACTCAACTAACTTTGCACTTTAAATGAAGTAGAACAAATTTCCTATGATGCTTCCTAATTGCTTTTGATTTCAGACAGGAGCGAAGGTAATAATTCGTGGCAAGGGTTCTGTGAAGGAAGGTAAGGTTGGTCGGAGAGATGGACTTCCAATGCCTGGAGAGGACGAGCCTCTCCATGCATTCATAACAGCTCCTACAGCTGAATGCGTGGATAAAGCAGTAAAGAAGATAAATGAAATTATTAGACAGGGGATCGAAATCCCGGAAAGTCAGAATGATCTTCGCAGAGCCCAGTTGCGTGAGCTCGCCCTACTTAATGGAACTTTACGTGAGCATGAAGGATTGATGAAACTTCGCGCAATGGCTGAGGCGCAATCAATTGCCACCAATAAAATTCAGTGTGGTATATGTGGAGGTAAGTCTTTGATGTATGCTATCTACCAATAAGTAACTTGAGGCTTTTGTTGTCCTAAAGGAGGCGGTTTGAAAATCAGTTTGGTGGCTTTTGGATGTGTCAAGATATTTGAATAAGTAAATCCAAGTTGTGACTGGTAATAGGATTAGTGATTCATATTACGCTCGAATCGCATGTAACGGTTATCTAAGTCTCACAACCTAAATACGCTTTTACTTGTCGTAGTTTACATTATGGAAATGATAATCCTATTCTAATTGTTTTCTCTCCCTTACCGTCTAAAGTCTCTTAGTTTCCTTTTCTGTACCATTGTATGCTTTCTAAATGATTGGTGACCTAAACCTGTTGTGCCCTTGTGCACATTTCTACAATGATCTGTAAATACAATAAATACTTATGTGTCAAAACTAAATAATTTCTTGAGTGGTGACGCACATTCAATTCCAAGCGTTTGCAAAGAATTTTCTCGGAAGTTTTATGTAAGTAGGGCGACTAAAGTAGTTATTGTGGTGAGATGAATTGCTCCGCTCTTACCTAGTCTGGATATAAATGCTTCCTTGTCATATTTTTTGTGGTCTGGTCTTATCACATGTCATGCACAACTGTAGAGGGAACATCCTCTGACAACATATGTGCAAAGTTCTATGTCGTAAACAGACTAGTCTGTATGTGGTATTTTCTACACAGCAACTGTAATTTCCGGTTTCAGGCATATTAACATTTATTTTCACAACGTGTGAATACAGTGACGTGGTGGATTTGAATTCCGCTGACCTTTCAATGAACATTACCCACAGTATTTTCACAAGAAAGTGTAAGCACTTCTGTGATTCCCTCAGCCTTTCTTGTTTCCCCCAACTTGAGGTACACCGTCTCACACAAAGTTACGATGATTAGAGTGTAACAAATCCAAACATCATCATCACACTTAAAACAGTGAAATGTTATGACAGTGAAAGTGTTGAATGTTTCTTCAAATAAATTCAGATATATAGAATACTTCCATATGTAGGCTTCTCATAATCCACACTTTGATATGTACACTACTTTTTGTTTACAGTCGTTTCTATGTAACATGAATAAGTGTTGTGTTGTTTTTGTTCTAGGTGCTGGACATTTGTCAACTGACTGTAAGGCACTACTGGGCGGTCAGGCATATCTCGATCAACTGAATGCTAATCCATCTGAAAGGGCTAAAATGGATAGCGAATATACTGCATTGATGGCGGAACTTGGCGTGGGACCAGGTTCTCAAGGATTACCTCCAGGTATGACTTAATAACTATACTGAAATATGATATCAAAGATATGGTTGTATTTTGTAGCGAAGCTTTCATCAAATCAACCATCCAGCTCAGAGAACACAACCACATCAAAGTCATCCATCTAAGCTACAAATATTCTCTATCATATCTATATTGTTAAGCGAAGCGATTGATTTCTAATGCTTGTGTGTAAATTCGATGAATAATTAGTTACGGTATTCCTGCGAATAGTGTATACGTACGTACAATTTCGTGGATAAGGCTAACGTCGACCATGTTTGTTGATTCAAGATTCGAGGAACTCGACGTATAGCTTCAGCTGTTGCTTTTGGTCTTATTTGATTGCTCTGTCATACTGTATACATAACATTGCAGAAATCTATAAACTGGAATTATCAGTTCACCCTTATTTTGCTACTTCAGCAGTATCTGATCAGTGTATATGTGAGGATTTAAGTGAGTGCTTATGCTTGTTCGTTTCTCTTATAATTCCTCTGCATTACGGAGTACTGTCAATTTTCATCGAAGTTCCCAGTGATAAACTATCCCTCTGTTCTCCGAAATGAGTAATGTAGGCGAATACGTGAAACTTCCTAATTGAGAATTAGTTTTGAGTGGTCATCGGAGTAAAAGTGTTCTGTGAAAAGTCAGGTGATGTGGCTGGCGCATGGAAGATTGATTATAAGTACAGTACAGCCAACTTTTTGCAATCCACAAGACAAACATTAAGTTTGTAATTCGCTATTCTCAGACGTTGTACAACACATTGTTGCATGCACAATTTCTGTCTATCGTAATAATTCAGAATATTCTGTTAGTTTTCTCGAGGTAAACCTCACGTGTGATGTTTTCATATGTCGCGTGATATTTCAATTCACTTTCCTCTCGTTACAGGTCTCAGGGGATTCGGAGCCTTACAACCCCAACCTGCTCGTCCAGCTCGTCAGCCTCCTCCTCCTGGTGTAGCACCTGATGATGACGACGATGGAGACACTGGGACCAATGGGACGACTGCCGTAATATCCTCAGCTGCCTCAGTCACAGTTTCCTCTCCGAGTCAATATGCATTCACCCTACCGCCACCTCCACCTCCTCCAGCTAATTATGCACCAGTGATAGCTCCTGTTGTTCCTTGGTCCGCTCCTGGTATCGTTGCACCACCACTCCCTGGATATCCCCCCACTACTACATACCCTACAGTTGTCTCCTCAGCTACGGGATCATATGACGAGGCAACAACCGCTACTAATGGATCCTCACTGCATTCATGGCAACCTACAGCGTCATGGGGGGAGGCCCCATCACATGTATCTCCAGTTGCACCCGTTCCTGGTAGGTATTTCTGAAGCAATATTTATCAATAATTGAAGTTCTCAACTGTAAGTATTAATCGATGGCTTTATTGATTTGGGAATCAATCTGTCGTCTTGAATTAATTTCCTAACATCTTATACTCCCTAATTCGTCCATTATTAGTTCCCACGCATTTGGCTATATAGAAGTTTTCCTTCCATTTCCAAATGCTCATGTGCATACGGATTTTGTGTATACAGATGTATATATGTTTTGCTTTTTGAGTATGTTTAAAGTGTCGTCAAAATTGTGTTCATCTTCTTTTCCAGGTTCAGCACTGGCTGCTCCATATTACCTGCAAACACCTGATTACTGGGCGGGATATGCAAGCGGTTACGGAGCTCCGATACCAAATCAGCCACCACCACCCCCTCCTGGAGTCTAGGTCATAATGATTATTCTATCAGCCGTCAACATGAGACTTTGTACAGAATTCGAAGCATGGAAGGTCTAAGAAATGCACTATTAATTTTCATTGATGAAGATAAAACATTTTTTGTCATCGTTAGTAATTTTTGTATCAATACATTTACTCTACTGACGTTGTTGGGCTTTTCACGTTGCTTGGGCATAGCATAATGTCGATATAGGCTGTTACTTGAACGCAAGTCGTGAAGTATCGCAGCGCTAACGGTTCAGGTCTCAGTACTCCACACCGCGACATTAGTCTGTAAGATTAAATAGGAATAGTTGGGTTCATCAGAATTCATCAGGTGAATAGAGAAATGGTAACATAAGCGGTCGCTGCACGATGACGACTTTTGCACACTCGCACCAGTTAACTCACAATTAGGTTTATTTACTTAAATGAAACGCCTATTAATTCTAACATGTTGGCACAAACAGATGGGACACACAAAAATAAGGAAGCACCAATGTGAGAGGGGAGAAAGTCGAGTAATTGAGGGACTGGATCATGAAAACACGTAGGCGTACTCCTCTTTAGTACATCCATAGGATCAGTCGTTACTTCCTATTACTTTCTAGATTAGGAGAAATTAGAGTACGTCGATTTCGATTCTCGGCCATACGTGATAACGTCTCGACTCAGTGATTCAGACGATTTCGCGTGTCCTAATTAGGGAGTATTGATGTGATGAGAGATATTCTCGACCACGGTGAACGGACATATTAGACATTTGATTCACTTCACAGTGTGCACGCGATTCTATGGAAATGAGGACGTCGGGACACTGGAAGTGTTTGCTTATCTCGAGGTGAGGACGTGCAGGGGTTGAGTTAGACCATAGGCTTCGAAGCGTTGACGTCCAGACTAAACTCATAACTTTACCAGAAATATTTCGAATGGGAAGCCTTATGCATTAGACATCCGCTAGTCTTCATTCCTAAGGAGATACGCGAACTCACCCACTACTTCTGATGATACGACTGCATTGATGAGCGCAGGTGTGGACCACTTCTCATCTTGCAACTCTATTTTGCACTGACGCTAGTGGCCGACTAATTGTGGATTTAATAATGTGTGTCACAGCAAAGTAAGACGATGCCACATACACACTCGAGCTGAGAGCTTTCCTTCTCGCCTTCAGCCTGAATTGCTGTGGAAATCATGGGAGCGAACAGAGACAGCTACTCTGCATGTGAACGGGAGACAAATGCCTGCACAAGCGAATACCGAAAATTTCAACATATGTCCGAGAAGTAATCATTCACTGAACATCATAAAGCTAATGTCATGAATCCACGAATTTCAGATTTTTGGTGTAAAGGGACTATTCCTCAATGAGTTCGTGTGCACTAGCTCGTTTAGAAAGTGCATTAGGTGCTGGAGATAGGAAATTGCTCCTTCGCTGGACCCCACTGGATAATTGCATGTGATGAGAAGGAATGATTGTGGTAGCTATCGTTGTCTCCTCATAATCTCAACCTACACACAGACTGCCTGCAGTTCAAACGAAGTAGGGAATGTGTTCTTTCAAAATCTGTCTGACTTGCTGCTAAGAGCAAAGTGCTCAAATGAAGTCGTTTCTCTCAGGTGGTCTCGATTCTCTAGTAAGGAAGCCGGATCAGTCAGAAGAGCATATTGCTGACACCTATGGAGTCCCATACGTACGAACTAACAAAGATTGGCTACCTTCTGCAATTCTGCTCATACAATCTTCTGTTCATGCCCACCATCAATATTAAACATACGAAGATACACTGTGTCACCTAGCGACCTCAGCACCGATCGGTGATGTACACAAATGGATAACGTAGCTATTGATGGGTGGGGTTAGCGGAAGATTTTCGCTTCTGTTAGGAAACCTGTGTAAAATATTATCACGCACTAGTCCATAAACGTATATACCTGCAACTGTATGATCATCGAAAAGAGGTAGTTATCAAATCAATATCTTGCCAAAATTTTCATGAGAACACAATATATAGAAAAGAAATATCTAAAAATGTATATGAGGTTAATACTGATACCAAAACTGGGAAAGACTGGCATAGTATCCAACCAAATGTGGAAACAATCGTGATACGTGTTGATAACCCACGAAAAATGGTGAACGAAAAGGATCCTCAACGAATATATCATCTTTAATTTCATAGTGCAATGATGCAATGAGCAAGACTATCCGAAAAAAAATTCCCCAATATGGCAGTGACTCCTAAGTACTTCCACTACAGAATAGTCACAAGACATCCTAAGACAAGTATTCTTGTTCACCAAATTTGGTTTGTGTGAAGTTTGTTGGAAATTCGAATCGATGCAAGGTAACCTGGAGTTCAGTCTTGCAAGTGTATTCGAGGTTGTATTCGGAAATCCTCAACTATGTCACTGACTACAGGGAAGATGTGAACTTCGTCATACTGAAACGTTAATCATTCGAGTTGTTATGAAACAAGTTTTCCTGCTACAAACATACAGGGTCGATGTGATTATTATAATTGCCAAGGGTTTTAGAATTTGTGCCCACTGTGATGCTTAATTCAACCTGAAAACAGCAAACTCAAGAGAACCAGTCTACATTCAGACCTGAATGCAGGGGTATTGACCAGAGGTCAAATGTATTTCGCTTCGCAACTCCAGAATACGCATAATGTGACAGTCGAAATAGTCAGCCAACTTAATCACTTTCCTTCCCATATATTGTGAGTTAGTCTCAGTATGACAAGTTGCATTGAAGAGTTGATAATCACCTATCCTTATTCAACAACAGCGGTATTTCTTACACACGATAAGTGAAGTTACATTTTTCACGTAGAATGCAATAGTGCAGATATCTGTCTTCAGCTGCTTCACTGCACTCAGTGTTTATTATAATACTGTGTACGAGCTAAGATGTCTGACACAGTGGTTACACCGTGTGTCAATCTTGATGACCTGGATGCTTGTTTCACAAACAAGTCATTGATGCGTATCTTTATTGGACGTTCAGTTATTATCTTCACTGACTAATCTTAATGCATGCTCTCTTGAAAAGTGTCTATGACTGACTACTTCTTATCGTATGTCTTGTGAAGCGTTAGAAGCTGTGTGCAATTCAAATGAAAATGTGTAGGTTGAGTATGCAATAAATAAGACATTTTAGATTTCTAGAGAACTGGATATTACACATCCATGTTTATTGCATCGATTTATTGGTTCTGATAAATTATTGTTATCGTTATTATTATTATTACTTTTATTATTGATATTAACACTTGTATTACTGTTAGTGATCACAGTGTACGAATGATGAAACAAAAGAGATGACTTCGTTTTGACTGTTACTTCTTTAACTATGAAAAAGACAGCACAGATACACCGATAATCGAAGTTAATTTGTCATCATGGTTGCTGAACCTTAAATGGTGCAAGAAAGAAAGAAGAATGCAAGATAAGTTATCGGGGTATATCTGTTTATACACATTCACAAAACGAAAAACACATGCATGATTTCCTACTTGAATGACTAATTGACTGACTGACTGAATTCCTGAATGACTTGACTGACAGAATTCACACCGATGTCCTACAGAATTCTTCAAGATATCTTTGCAGTTATGCTAAACAGGTTGTAGACATTTCTTCACAACGTTGTGTAAAACAACAACTGGTCTAAGTTAAAACAAAACCCACCCACATTGAGCCAGTAGTCGAGTTCGCATATCGCAATCACCTAACTAGCCACACAGGCTGTAAACAATGTTCTTAAGCTTCTACTATGCCAGAAATGTTTGTTTTCTTTGTTTCTCTCTCTCTCTCTCTCTCTCTTGGCAATTAGGTCCCCTTCACTATCCTTCGTTGCTTTAATCTGTGTTGATCTCTTCTCGGATGGGTACCTGTTTATCCGGCTTAATGGATTCCCAAGCAAAATACTAAGTCACATCATCCTGGAGAGAATCGAACAAGCCCTGGATGAAAATCTTCGACCGTTACAGGCTGGATTCAGGAGAAACAAATCATGCATTGATCAAATCGCCACACTACGGATCATCATTGAACAAAGCTTGGAATTCCATCCATTCACCTCTCTATCTCAACTTCATCGACTTTGAAAAGGCACTCTACAGTGTCGATCGAGAGGTCATTTGGCAACTACTTCGCTTCTACGGGGTGCCACCGACAATTATACATCTCATCCAACAGTTGTACGACAATGCTGCATCCCAAATAATCCACAACGGGAAACTTACGGAATCCTTCGAATTGAGGAAGGGAGTAAGGCAAAGCTGCCTACTTTCGCCAATGATTTTCCTGATTGCAGTAGATTGGATAATGCGACAAACATCGGGCGGGGCAATGAGGAAACAGGCATAAAATGGACTCACACCAAAAGGTACTTGGAGGATCTGGACTTCGCCGATGATATATGTCTGATTTCCCATGAACAAACTGGAAGATATGCAATTGAAAAGCAACAAGTTGGCTGAAGAAGCATCAAAGATAGGAGGGAATTCCGGTGAACATAGAGAAACCAGAGGTGATGAAGATTCCTGGCCAACACTAACAGCAACAACAACAGATAACAATCAGCCAGCATAAATGGGAGGAAGCTCAAAGAAACAACCTCCTTCACCAACCTACCTACCTGGGAAGCATCGTTTCAACTACAGGCGGAACTGAAGAGGATATCAAAGCAAGAATCCGAAAAGCAAGACAAGCTTTCATTACTCTCAAGTCTGTGTGGAGGTCAACAGCACTCATCATCAAAAATAACATCCGGATTTTCAACTCAAATGTGAAGTCAGTGCTTCTATACGGATCAGAGACTTGGCCAGCGCGTCATAAAGAGCACCTCAAATAAATTACAGACTTACATTAACAGTTGTCTTCGCTCAATACTCAAGATCAGATGGCTGGCCAGAAAAGTTCAGCAACAGCGATCTCTGGGGGCGAACCAACCAGGAGCCGATTGTGCAACAAATAGACAGGAAGAAATGGAGATGAATTGGTCATACTCTGAGGAAACCATCAAGTGACATCACTAGACAAGCCCTCGAGTGGAACCCGAAAGGGAGGCGGCGAGTTGGTCGTCGGTGCAAGGGTGACTTGGAGGAGGTCATGCGAGGAGGAGATGAAAGCATGTGGGCAGACTTGGAGCCA